ATTTTAAGTACCAGAGATGAGTCTTAGAAATGCTGTCCCTTATGCTTACTATCAACAGCTCTTATCTCCAGGACCTTATTACTTGTCAAAAGCGCACAAATACTTTAATAGGTATGATCTTCTAGAAGGTAAAGCAAAATAACAGGGAGGGTGTTTATTTAAAATATCTTCAAGGCAGCATGAGGTCCTTCCGCGTTTTGTGTTTGTTTTCTTGCTTTATTTTTTTTTTTTAATTTAAATCCTCACCTACAGTCTCCCTCTCTCACACACATAAGACCATCTTCTTGGTATTTCAGGGTGGACAGATGAAAATCGAAAGCCCATTTTGCAGCTTCGTTTATGACCACCGGTTGAAAAGTCGAAGGTGTTTTCGAGAAACAGAAAAATACCTACCTTAAAAAAAATAGTTATTTCTCCTATTTTGGTTCAGTTTGAATGTTTAGTAGGTTTTGTGCTCAGGGTCTGTAACTTGGTGGCTTTTTGTTGTATTCTTCCGCGTTTTTTCTCACTGTCCTCCCCTCTCCTCCCCTCCCCACCCCCTCTTGACACCTCATACACGATGTTTCATCTTGGGTGTATTTGATTAGTTGGTGCTTGATTAGTGGTCGAGAGACTCCTTTCTAACGTTGCTCCGTGCATTTTCCTATCACAATATGTTTTTTTCCTCAGAACGCTCTTCTGTTGGTCACTCACTTAGATATACTCTTTTTTTACCTCCTCTCCGCCTCTCTCTGTGTCTCTCCTTCCTTCAGATGACGAGCACAGCAGAGACATTTAATGTGTGTGCGGAGTGGTGCAGTTAGATAGCGAGTAAGCACTGAAATGTGAATGTCCATAATTCTATGTATTAGGTGTAGGTTTAGGTGTGCTTATTGTGTATGGGCATTGCAACGGCCCCAGCTCGAGCAGCTGCCGCGTAGAGAGACCCAGTCCCTCATAGATGGGATTACATCTGCCTATTTGCAGCCACGAGAAGGGATACTCCGGGTTTATCCGTGGTGAACAGGATACGTGTGCACTTTGGAAACTAGGTTGCTAAAAACGATCCTGAGATTCATCTGCAGCTGTTTTAGAGTCACTGTAGGGGGATTTTCTTCCTTGGACGTAATGCTGAGCTCTAAGAAACTTTCCAGAATAAAGCAATACTGCGAGTTTCTTTTTGCACAGCGAGTTTCCTGGGCGCTGAGGAAGAGAAATGAGCAATAAATAGCGGTCGCGTTTGTGACAGACAATATTTAATAAAGAAGAGAGAAGGAGCAACACAGGGAGGCTTGAGTACCAATTTCGCTTCGTTCCCTGCGGTCTGTAGCTGTGAGGATGTGCTCTGGAGTAAGAGTAAGTTATTTAAACTCTGTAAGTCCTTATCGCAGGCGGATGACATGGATAGACAGGCAGAGGGGTATTGACTGATTTTTGTGCAGTGGAGCGCTCCCCGCGATACATATTTGCTAGACGAAGGCTGGAGGAGGTCTGCTTCACCAAAACCTAGTGTAGTGCCTAAAATGCTTTAATTACAAGGTAGTAGGAAAAGCATGATGTGAACTTGAATTCTTAATTACATCATCCGGACTGTAAGTGTCGGTTTCTTCATGGTCCTTGAGGCCTGCACAGGGAATTCTCTATCTATGCAAAAAGATTGCCAAAAATATTAAGGAAATTATATAGGGATTCACACCCGGCTATCGATTCATCTCGCGCATCGATCCCGCACAACAGATTACACATACACAGTCTCTCGTTATGTTTGCTATCTGAGCTTACTTGACATTTCTGAAGTAATTTAGTTAAGAGGAAATGAGTTGTTCCCAGTAGAGAGAGCAAACGAGTGGAGTGAAGGTAGCCAGCGTGATAAATGGCTCTTTCATTTGGAGATCTCCAGAGCTCGTTTAAGGCTAATTTTCTGTATTAGCCCCCTTTGAGCTATTAATGCAATAGGCAGGGACCGTGGCCCCTCATCTCTTAGCTGCCCCATTAGAGCGAGCATTAAGCTACCAAGCCTGAACTCTACTGTGGTGGTGGTGGTGAAATAATGAAAGGTGCTTTTTAAACTCTCCTAATCTAAAGTGGCAGAGGGTGGTTAATACGATTTGAAGGGGGCTGGTCAATGAACAATCAATAAACTAATAATGAGAAGGATGCGGTACATTAACAGTCTAAAAATCCAACGAGACATTAAAAAATCATCGTTAACTCCTAGTTCCATTAAGATTTGGTGGAAGTGGGAGGGAGGGAGCCAGATAAATCATCAAGATGATAATAATCACCAAGAGCATTAATACCGGATAGAACTCGGCTTCGAGAGTTTACCGGCTTCGTGTTTTGAGGCCTTTCCCTCGACTTCTGTTGAAACGAAGGGAAGGTTTTCCGTGTGTCAGGAATAAAAGATCAGGTCCCTTTGTCAGCTGCTCATCTGAAATTTGCTTGGCACCGTCTATGGCCAAAGAAAGTGTCGTCTTGCAAACTCTGGCCCGGCCCGAGTCCCAAGTTAAATTTTTGTGACTCTGGGGCACAGTCAGTGACCTTAAAATTATCCTGACATATTTATTTACTTTCAGCTGTTTCTGACGATCTTCTACAACACTCACACCTGATTTAGCGCTAAAGGCCATTTTATCCCGAACACCTTAACTCATTTTCTCCTTGTAAACACGCTCTGCTGTTCATACTGTTTTAAAGCAGCAGACGAAAGGAGGTGTCTTAACTTTTTTTTTTTTTTTAACTCTTAATAGTACAGCATAAGATTCCTCCGCACCCCGTCTTGAAGTATCCGGATAAATGATTAACTGAAAATCACTCTGGCCTCAGCTTTTCAGGTGATAGATCTGGGAATCGCAGATGTTGCTTCGCTGCCTCTGAGTTTCGTGCTTTTTTCCGAATTACCATTGGGATCTTATGATCCCCTCTAACTGAATGCAAGGCGATTTCGAGGGAATGCTTTTCCCTTTGAAATTTATTGCCAGTTTTCAGGGGAAAGGGACTGCGGTGGAGGAGAGGGAGGAGGAAGAGAAGGAGATGGGAGGGACAGGAGGGACTTGAACACACACTTCAAGTGTTTATTCATTGAAATTAAAATAAGAATGGGGGTCTTTTAGTGGCTTTAGTGGCAATGGGTAAGACGCTGACCCCGGGCTTTCTAGGTTTGCCTACAAAGTCGGACTAAATTATCATTAACATCAAAGTCCTGTTCTAATGGATAAGGAACTTTTTACTCTTTTCAGACTCAGTAGGCAGATAAAAATGTTTGAAGGCAGTTCGATAGCTCATTAATAATAAGGTTGTCCGTAACGTTTATTAGGAAGAAATATAAGAAATATTTCTTCTGATTAATTGATTGTTTGACTGATCGACTATCATATTCTTCACTAGGGTTATTGCTACGATATCCATAGCTTAAAACCTCATTATTCAGCTCTTATCAAGACAGAATTCTACCTTTTAATTATTTTTCGTGTTTCTGAAGTGCCCTTTTATTTCCATTTCCTCTTGTCCGTGGACACTTGTGTCCATTTTCACGCATTTTTAGAGAGCAACCCAACAGAGCACCACCACCACCACGAGGGGAAAAAAAAAAAAAAAAAAAAAAAAAAAAAACAGACCCAAACCCTGAGACTTAATGTATGCACAGAAAATTGTAAACATGTAAAGAACTGAAAGCTTCACGCTGAGTTTCGCCATGCTCCATTTCCCCACCATTTCCTGCTGTCGTTTTAAAGCGATCTCACTCATCTAGAGATCCCGTTTGCAGGAACAGTATGCTTATAATTACTAACAAATCAAGCGGCTACTGTTGCTCTCCCGGTTTATTGATAAGCGGAAGAGAAATGGAAGGGGGAGAAATGACAAAGAGGCTGAAAGTAACCACAGGAGGAGAAAAAGAGAAAGAAAGTGAGAAGGGGATAAAAAAGGAGAAAGGGGGTAAAAAAGAGAAATGAGAGAAGGAGAAGTAAAGAAAGCAAAATAAAGAGAGAAGGCAGAGATTTTGACAGGGAAAACTATGTATTTGTGAGTGCTCACACATACACAGCAAACAGACTTTGGGAGTGAAAGAAAATCGAATAGTTTCTGCTGGTGATAACAGGAACTCAATGGGATAAAGTTAAAGCAGAAGGGTCGGAGACACTGCGTGTAGAAGTGCGTGTTATTCTCTATTATTTCAGCAGTTATGGCAATCCCTAACCAACTGGGAAAGTTGACATGGACTGGAAATACACTATATATTACAGTTTATTTACATACACGCAGGGCGTTGACACCTGCAGTTGCACACACGGACGCGTACATCGCTTCGCCCACTAAAATATCCACATCGTAATATCTCTGGTAATGTCTGGGCCGTATCTGAAAAGCTATAGCCGTGATAAACATATAGATACGATATAGATAGAGATAATTCATTCCATGGCAAACACTTTTTTTGAGGCAGCATTAGGTAATTTACAGAAGATATAGAGTCTAGATAGAACACATCTCTCTGAAGCTATGAAATTGCAATAGATATGCTTACACCGCCTGGTAAGCTTCTAAAATGGGTTTAGAGTTATTAGGCTCCAACTGCTGGGTATGTTCCTACGGTCCTTTTCGGGGAGGTGGTGGTAGGAGCAAAAGCTGAGAAGCTTTCAGCATAGCTGGGAAGGGAGCCAGCCTGCTTCCCAAAAGCAATTTACGAGAAAAAAAAATACCGAGCACGTGAAAATCCATATTTCAAAGGTTAACTAATGTAATGAGTGCTCCAAAAGGCCAAACCGAGTGGGGTGAGGCACATTTAAGCATTGCACGGGTCCCTCTCTCCTTAGTGAGTTTGGACTAAGATCAGATGGTGGAATTGCTGCCTCTTGTTTAATTTCTCAGTTCACTGGACAGTGACCTGATAAACTGTTCACTAAATATAGCCACTGTATAGGTGTACTCAGACCACTGAGCCCGTGTGTTTGTCCAGAGAAAGAAATGCCAATCGTGAAAATCCTTCTGGTGACAGAGTCTTAGTTCTTTTTTCTTTTTTCTCTAAATTTTTCTTGATGTTTCACTGGAATGACGTTGCAGAACATCGTGAATGGAATCAGTTACGTACCTATGTATAGCGGGGGGAAGAGAGACTTTTTTTAAATTTTTGTCTGTCAGTACTACTTCTGATACCCCAAATGAGTCTTTTCCTATAGAATCAATGGCAAAAATAATCCTATTAATAGGAAAAAAAGCAAGAGCGGGCCTCTGACTCTTTTATAACTGTTTCTGTGCCATTCTCAAACTATTTGAAACCGCCTTTATGAGCTGCATAAAGTGCCTAACTAAAAATAATAGAGAAATAAGAATCCATTTCACTTTCCGATTCCCTGAAGTAAAGCCACTCAAAATAATTTGTTTATACTGGAGACTATATACAAGGGATATGAAGCAATATGTATATCTAAAATCGACATGCCTTTTGGTTTTTAGCTGTTATAGAGCTTTTATTGTGGGGGTCTGGTCTGGCAGTAGGAAATGATCCGTAATAAAAACAGTGAAACACGGTTGTGTCTATTCTATACACTGAGGTTATAAAATTGGCAATTGCCCAGTAGTTAGCACTTGGTAATATATTAGGATACCCGATCTTATTGTTTAGCAGCTCCAGACGACTTAAATATCCCCTCAACCCTAATGGCTTGATTCTCCAGATATGTTGCAAATAAACAGGGTTTTTATGACTTAACTGACATGTATTATAACCACCTAAATAGCTGGCATATGTGCATAATAGAACCCTATTATTTGCCGGATTGGTTTTGCAATTGATTGAGTGGAAATGGGAGACTGTGAAGTAGTATCTGCTTTGCGAGGGTGTGTAATCAATTAGTCTTCTCCTCTGAAACATGCCCGGGCTCTGCCACCAGCAACCCCCCGGTTTCAGAGTATATTTTCTATAAGGAAAGGCGTGTTGCTGTGATTCCGAGAGGAAGCAGCAGTAGCAGCTGTCAGCTCTTATTAACTCCTGCATAAAACATACCTTAAGTACGGTTTGTTATCAATTACTTGCAGAAATGAAACAACTGGGAAAATGTAGCGAGGCTTCCTATAAATTAAAGTGATTGGTTGATTGATTAGAGCACCTGCGGTAAATCATAACAGTTACACACAATTATGAGCGGGCTATTTAAGTTCATTTGTAAACAAAATTCATGACACAGGGGAATTGCTTTCATTTTTAGTTTAACCAGGTTTTTTTTGTTGTTTATTTCTGAGTGTGTCTGGTTGATATTACAGGAATTTGTTCCTTCTGATCGCCTTGGTTACTCTTAAAATAGCCTCACTAGTTTCTCAGAGAAAAGAGATATTTTGTTTCATCGTAGACCGAATAACACGTTTCAATTTTGCTTAGTTTCACTTTATTGTTCTGTTTTGATTTTTTTGCCCATAACTTCCTTTAAATATGTGTTACAGTAACTAGATCAGCTTTATTTAGAGGCAAGAGAGTTCCCACTACTTCACGGACAGCACAGTACGATCAAGGTGGTGAACGCCATGGTTAGACCAGATTTTTTTTCATTTTTTCTGACGTCCATTGTTCTGAAGGAAAATACTCATTTTAGTTCATAAACCAGACGTACTAAAAACACAAAGCAATAACAGTGCTGTCTTCTGGTCGCTGTATCCTCCAGCCTTGATACTTGTTTAAGACAGTAACTCCCTGCGTCTAGTGAATTTATTCCTGGCTCAGCTTAGCAGTAATGGAAACATTAGCAAAAAAAAGTAAATGTTCCTCTTTTTTTTCCCCTCCAGAAAGGCGCTGTCCGTTGTACAAAAGGCATCGGGGGGCTCTGGGTGTGACACAGGCTCAAACCCGAAAGTTGCCAGGTGCTTGCCAATATGTACTTTATTTCCCAATGATCAAACCCTGCATAGAGGCTGTACTGCACCACCCTTCTCTCCATCCATCATTCATGGAGCAGTTTCCTAGAGGTTGGGGGAGCAGCACCCTTTAGGTTGCTGGAGGTAGCCAGAGATTCAAAATTCCCTTTCATTTTGCTGTTCTGTGCATGTCAAAGAGACTGTGGTTATCCTGTGCTCCTTCGTGGCATAACGGTTTCTTTCTCCCCTCTTCCCCTTTTCTTTCTCCAGTTCCGGTTCCTCCAAAATCTGTTACTTCTTTGATGATGAATAAAGATGGCTTCCTGGGTGGAATTTCAGTCAATACCGGAGAGGTGTTTTGCTCTGTACCTGGCCGCTTGTCTTTGCTTAGTTCCACTTCAAAGTATAAAGTAACTGTGGGAGAAGTTCAAAGACGTCTTTCTCCTCCAGAGTGTCTGAATGCATCCCTCCTAGGAGGAGTACTTAGAAGGTAAGAGGCTGGGGCGAGCGTGTGAGCATGTCCATGTGTGAGCATCCAATGATGCACCAGAAATCTGGTCAACGGTAAAGATGTTTTCAAATATGCATTGATCTTATTGTTATAGCACGTGTGTGTAATGTTCAGGATAAAGTGAAAATATGCTATATTCAGACATTGACATGAGTATATGGAGACTAGAGAAAGATTTGGCCTTGTGCAATTTCTATAGAGTAATTCCAGAATGAAGGAACTGAGGCGAGGTTTTCACTCTTCAACGTGAAGACACTTTCTATCTTTTCTCCCTCTCCTCACACTTCCCTCTTAGAAAATGGACAAAATAAAATGCCATGATGGCCATGTTGCAGTTAGGTGTTGCAGGAAGAACGGGATGTATTTCAGGACCTGATGTATTTCTAGGTATTTCCTAGATAAATCCATGAGGCTTCCTCTATAAGTCTGTAACGTTAACGCAATAAACAGTTGTCACACAGGACATTATTGAAATTCGTAGGGGATTAATACGCAACCTGTAAGGCAGATAAGTACCTGACTAAAGAAAAGCCATCAACAGATAGCTTTGAAAGTCAGGAACTTAGTGCTTCATCTAGAGAAAGTTGCTACAGGAATCAATCACGGCTGCTCTTGAGGCCTTTGCTGTTTAACATTCGAGCAAATCACCCACTAATGACCCGGTGGATTTTGCGAAAGACCTCATAATAGTTGGAAGTATTGGTACCAAGGAAAATGAGGAGCAAGTGATAGCTTGGAGGCCTGGTTGCTACTCCATCACAACAAGCGAGAGATTGTGCATTTAGGTACCAGAAAGAAGAATTTAAGCTCTGAGTTCATCAGCTGGAAAGACTAACAGGAGAAAGGCCTTTGTAAGGACCGTGAATTGTCAGTATGAGTTGTCTGTAGGAAAGGTAAGCCAAGGTTCTATCTCCAGTCAGAACAGGGAAGAAGTCAAGATATGGTAGGAGGTACCAGCTCACTCCAGCCAGTGGAAAGCTGAGAGGGGAGACATCATTTTCTACTTGAGGTGTACGCCAGACTAGAAAACAAACCATAACTTTGAGACAGAAAAAAATCAAAGAATTTGGCCCTGAATAAATTTCAGATCATGCTTAAAAGTTGCTAATTTTAGAAAAGGAATTATCTTGCCAACTCCTGTAGCCGCAATTCGGCAACATTGACTCTGAGGTGTTTTAAAATGAAGTCGTTGTATAGGGGTTTTGGGTGGATCTTTTTGGTTATGGGTTTTTTGGGGTTGTTTTCCCCCATGCAAAAAACTCTGTGACGATGTTAGGGGCTCCAGCTCCGTGTCTGGAGAGGAGGGGGGAAGTCGTGCTACGTGCAGCCAGTCACCCAAAAACACATGTGAGAATGAGGGTCTCCTGAAATAGATACTGTTCCACGTGAATGTCTGTAATCAATGTTTAGCTGTGATCCTTGCCAGTGAGAGCAGCAGAAATTTTTACTTACAGATGCTAACCCGCCTGCTCATTCTGTACAGCTACAATTGGAGCAGGGAGAACATCTGAGAGAGACACTGTAGAAAATACAATTACCAAGGTAAAGAAACACCATTATTGAACTTCAGTGGATTTCTGGAGATGGCCCAAGCCGTAATCATTGGCTGCTGCTGACTTCAGTTCCTATCTTGAATCTAAGAGCAGATGAAATACAGAAAGCTGCTCTTCTGCAATTCTGCCATCTAGCCCTATTTACTTTGATGTAAAATAGTGGGAAGCCAGTCTGGCTTCTCTGTCGTTTCTGGTTGCCTTTCGCTAAGTGTGACTGCTAATTCTTAAACAAATTTAAAGTAAATAACAAAGAGATATTTGGGATGGTCTCTGATCATCGGTCCCAAAACTCTCCCTGATTTAGCAGATGGCAAGCTTTCATGCCTGGGGGTTTACATATGCATAGGAGTCCGAACAATAGCTCTGCATTTCCCACCTATAGCTCACTCCTCCTTTTAGCGTCCTTATCAGCAACCTCCGACTGATATTCAGACCTTCCTCCAGGCACTCCATTCCCTCTGTCTAACGCACCCTGCCTTCAGGTGAGCTCTTCCTCTCAGCGTCGCCTTTCCGCACAAGAACACACTCACACACATGCACGAAAAGTTTTAATAAAAGTCTTTCTCCTTTTCTGTTTATCCACAGACACACACATTCTCCCTTTGAGCCTTTTCTTTCAGAATCCCTCCTCCCCCCCGTTCTTCTTCCCATTCTGGTTCTTGCTTGGAATAACCGAGGATATAATGCTCCTCCTCTATCCTTTCTGCCCATCTCCTCACTCCATCTTAATACGAGTTAGTGTCATACAGTAGGAACCCATTTGCTCTCTAGATCAGAACCTTATCCATTAATTATTGCTCTCTGGCATTATTTGATTTCCCTGGAGAAAACAGGGAGAAAAGTGGGTTCATCCCCGCTTCCACCGCTGGGAGAAATGAAGCAAATCTCAGCAAACCCGAGCAGAAATCAACACAGCCAAAGTCCTTAACGCCGCGTTGAAACCCTCCCAGGCTCCCCTGACTGCACAGCCTAAAACTTTTCTTCCAGGAACTCTGCGGGGTTAATCACGATGTTAATCTCTTTGCAATTCTAGAGCCAAATCGAAAAACGGGGGGAGATCTTTGCGAGAAAGGCTAGAAAAAATCGGTTTGAATTTACCAGCCGGCAGGCGTAAGGCCGCAAATGTCACTTTACTCACCTCCCTGGTGGAAGGTAAGCCGAGGGTCGCAGCTCCCTTCACACCCCTGCCTGCTCCGAACTCGGGTCTGATATTTTACGAACCAAAAAAAAAAACAAAAAACAAACCCTCCCTCAGCTTCGGGGTCAGGTGGGAAAACCTTGCGGAGGTGAAATTCAGGGCGGGTTAGGGTGAACACCGGCACAGTGAAGGATCCCGTCCCCAAAAATGAAGTCACTGGCCGGAGGGTCGTTGATCCCTCTTGGTGGCACGAATGAGGGTGTGTGGGTGTGTGTGTGTCTGGGATTCTGCAGGGCAGTCCCATTCCTCACTCCTATTAATTTCCAGCCTGTGCTCTCTGACTCCACGCCTGCTCCATCGCCCCTCCATTCTTCTCCACTACAGGATGCTCAATGAGGAAAAACCCTAGAGAATTTATTTTTTAAAGAGATCAGAGCAATTTAAGAGTGGCAAAGCACAGTTTACCTTAAGGTGACTAGTACTGAACCAAGAGACCAGCTATTCCTGAGGAAGGAGAGAGGGAAGGGGAGAATGAAGCTTCACCTTATTTCAAGTCAGCTATCGTATTTTTGGTGTTCGGCGTGTCTCTTTGATTCGTTTTTACTGTATTGAAAAGTAAAATTTAGAGCCACGAAGATGTTTAGGGTATGTGCCTATTTATGCTAAGAGAAGATGGACCTTCTCCAAAAAAACGTGACCGGAATAGTATGGGTGCAGTTATGAATTATGTGTATCTGCGTTACACATACGCATCGAGAGGCGTGTAAATAATCCACTTCTCTCTCCTGCGTATAAGTACGCGTAAAAGTTTGTGCTAAATACCAGCTTTTCAACTCTTTTGATTGAGTTATACGAGAGATAAGACCTCGCCGCGCGCGGAGCTGCAGGCAGGCTCGCAAAAAGACGGGGGCTGGTCGAAACGAGCTCCTCCTGGTACCCGCGCGTAGGTTGCGCCGAGTGTGTAAAGCACAGCGCGGCTCACGGGCGTAGGGTCCCGCTATGGGTAGACCTGATGCCTTTAACATCGCGGTCAGCGCAGCTTCGCTCCTGCTGCGGGTGTGAAAACTGGGGCACCCTGCTCCCAGCAAAATCAGACCCTCCCCGAAGCTGGCTCGAGGTTCAAAAGCCTGTGCGGTTGTGTGGTGATGCTAAAAATCCACGTCAAGTACGTAGTAAGGCGTATGTCACCCTCCTCTCCCCTGATTTCTCTACAAACCAACAGTCCACCTCCAGAGAGCTCCCTCTCTTTGGAAGAAGCTGCACCTGCTGGAGATTTATCTTGTTTTCCGCCACCAGCCAGGCTTTAGCGATGTTGTTATTGCATCGCCCAGGGCAGAAACGCTCCGGCCGGGATTACCCGGGGGGACCCTGCCAGGAGTGGGGTGACCGCGGAGGGGACTCCCCGGGCTCCCTCGCCTTCATTAAGAGGTTTGGTGATTAGCGAGGAGCCTTGGAAAGCAGAAGATGAGGTTGGAAAGCAACTCCTGATCTTTAAAAATAAAGGGGTCTTGCAGTTACCAGGCATATCTGGTTTGCGTGTTGGAAATCTTCCCCCTGGTCCCTCAGGCAGTGCTTTAAAGGGTTTAATGCTTTTTTTCTAGAGGGGCTGAGCTATAATCTGGTGGAATCCCCCTAGAGTCTGAGGGTTTTGGTGGTTTTTTTTTTTTTTTTTTTTTTTTTTTTTTTTGCCGCCCCCCTCCCCCCTTTTCCTCCTTTCTGCAGCTACTGTCTTCTTCTTGTGGCTTGAAGTACATCAGTAGGACTTGGATAACACGAACCTCTGGAGGCAAGAAACCTGAAACCAGGCAGGCAGGAAAAGCGACAATTAGAATTAGAGTTAGAATAATTATTGTTTTTCACAGAAAAGGTTGCAAGGAGTTGCTACCTTTCCATCTGGCAGAGAGGAGCTTCTGTTGCATGATGGGCAGTTAAGAAAGCAGATTAATAATTCCCATTGGACGCAGTGCCGTTATCTCCATCACCTTACAGATGTGGAGAGAATTGTGATAATGATGCAAGCCCTCTGTCTGTGTATATATAATGTCCCACAAATGATTCACACTAATATTAACTTTATGCCCACATCTGTAAAGCTTTGGACTTTGTGTATTAAAACAGGAATGGTTTCTCTGCTGTAAGGAAAGTCCGGATCCTGCTGTCTTTCAGGATTTAACTTTCCCCTGGCATTTTTTTTTTTTGGCCCAGTTAATTTGGAAGTGGGTGTGTGTGTATGTATGTTCTGTGTGTGTATGCGTGTGTGCTTTTCCCACAGTCCTGCACAACCAGCTCCGTGTGTACCTCCCACCACGAGCGCGTTGTAGCAAAGACAAATCTCATCGGCTGAAAAATCGGTCCGATCAGCTTACTTCTGCCCCCAAAACAGGGCTTGTGGAGGGAAAAGGTATACCTGCAGCCTGTTCCTAAGGTGCAGAGGGTGTTATAAGGTTTCTAAACAGGGCCCGAACGAGCCGGTCTCTCCCGCGGGAGCGGGGGGCAGCAGCCCGGT